TCATTCGAACGCCCGTACGCGCGTGCAGAGGGGGTGCACGATCCGTGTCAAAGAAAGTCCTGGGGACCACTCGCGCGCGTCGGCCGCGCGCGCATGTCGAGCTCCCTCCAAAACCTTCATCACCGACGCGGGGGCACCGTCGTCGTCATCGGCGTGATCAGCATCGGCACCGTCACTGGCCATGCCGTCGTCATTGTCACCATGATCACCAGCATCTCTACCGTCATCATCGCGTCTACCGTTGTCGACGTTGCCATGATACCTTGCCCGCCCAAGTCACCGATTCGCACTGACATGCCCGCTGGGAAGTGCCCAGCGGTCAGTGCCACCGCGGCCGCGCCGGAAGCGCCAAGCTTACTGGTTGCTGCGCGCGCGAGCATGCGCGGGCCAGCGCGGCCGCTGAGATGCACCAGTCAACCCCAGGCACCCATCGCAATCGCCGCCGCATGTGTTTTGCAAACGCACTTGCGGGTGGGTGGGTGGGACGATTGCGCGAACAGTGAAGTGGACAACTCACTGCGAACAGGAATGAATTGCACAACGTAGATCGCACCACAATACATCGCACCACATCTAATGCACAACATAGATTGCTCCACAACGATTGCGCACCATACCTGGCTAGAATTATCCGAGCGCGACCCTACCTAGGAGTTGGAACATCTAGGAAAACAGCATCTACATCTACGCCGACAGCTATATTAACATATATACCTGCATATACATCAACATCAATAGCAACAACGAAACTCACACCTACATCTACATCTACACCCACATCTACACCTACATCTGCAAATGCATCTACATCTGCACCTACATCCACATCTACACCTACACCTAGGTTATGCTATGCTATGCTGCGCTATGCTATGCTTTACGATGCTATGATATGTTGCGCTATGTTATGCTATGGTGTACCCTGCTTTGCTATGATGCGCTATGTTGCACCATGCTATGCTATGCTATGCTAGGGTACGCTCGGCTGCGCTGTGGTGTGCTAGGCTATGCCATGCTATGCTTTGCTGCGCTATGCTATGCTATGATATGCTGAACTATGCTATGTTATGCTATGCTATGCTGCGCTATGCTACGCTGCGCTATGATACGCTATACGTCGTTATGATGTGCTATGTTATGTTATGCTATGCTGCGCTGTGCTATGCGACGCTATGCTATGCTATGGTGTGATATGATATGCTATACTATGCTGCGCTGTGCTACGCTAAGAAAGGCTATGATATCCCAAGCAATGCTAGGCTACGCTGCGCGATGTTATGCTATGAGACGCTATGATATGCTATGCAGGGCTCTGCGTTGCGGTGCTAGGCTATGATTTGCTCAGCTATGCGATGCTATGCTTTGCTGTGCTGATGCTGCGCTGCGTGGCGCTATGCTGCGCTAAGCTAAGCTAAGCTAAGCCAAGGTAAGCTAAGCTAAGCAGAGCTAAGCCGAGCTAAGCTAAGCTAAGCTGAGCTAAGCTAAGCTAAGCTAAGCTGAGCTAAGCTGAGCTAAGCTAAGCTATGCTGCGCTAAGCTAAGCTAAGCTAAGGTAAGCTAAGCTAAGCTGAGCTAAGCTGAGCTAAGCTAAGCTAATCTATGCTAAGCTAAGCTGAGCTAAGCTAGACCAAGCCAGGCTAAGCTAAGCTAAGCCCAGTTAAGCTAAGCCAAGCTAAGCTAAGCTAAGCTAAGCTGAGCTAAGCTAAGCTGAGCTAAGCTAAGCTAAGCTAGGCTAGGTCAGGCTAAGCTAAGCTAAGCTGAGCTAAGCCAGGCTAGGCTAGGCTAAGCTAGCCTAAGATGAGATACGCAAAGCTAAGCTAAGGGGGCGCAACTGGGGGAACCGCGGGGCGGATGCTGGGGGAACCGCCCGGGGCGAGGAACACTGCGCGGCCCCTCTAAGCCCGGCGAGTGAAAACCCTCCAGGCAGAGCCTAGGTAATGAATAATTAGAGTAAAGGGAAGAAGAACCACTCACCATATCTACCAGGGTTCTCTCAGTGACCCCGCCATCGGAGAGATCTGCCAATAAGGCAATATCGATGCGAGGCTCAGTCAGGTTGCCCACTATCATGGTTTAGCCGGAGTTAAAGACGTCCTCGAGATCTGCCATTGTCGTGTCTTTGTCGCAGCGAATGTCTTCTAAAGATGACCTGGGTGACGCAGGGCGTAGAAATTCGCCTCGGTAGACAACTAGGACGCGCTTCATATCTTGTTCACGCATGCGCCGCTCCCCTGCGCGGGAAGGCGGGCTGCGCGGCGCCGCCGAGACATCCCCGCTGGCGCTGAATGGCGCTGCTCGGAGAGCGGGCCGCGCAGCGCCGCCGCTCTTGCGGCGCCGGGCCTCAACTCGGCGAGGCTCATCAGCGTGATCGTCGTCGTCGTCGCCGCGACGGCGGCGCAGACGGCCGCGACTGCGGCTGGGCTCGCGGCGACCACCGCTGCGACGCAGATCGATCACGTCCGCCGCTGTCAGGGCCCTGCTTCCGCGCGACGTGGGGCGGGGCATCGCCGGCGGCCCGAGCTTCGCCAACTCATCCCAGATGTCTAGTGGCCCCAGCTGGAAGTATTCGGCAACCTGGAGCCGCGAGTCGCACCTCTCCAGCCAGGTCGTCTTCATCAAGCCACCGCCTGCTGTCCACAGGGCGGATGCGCGCGCAATGGATGACGCGGCCCTTGCTCCGCCTGATCGACAGGCCCGAGTTGCCAACTCCGTCGTCCAAGACACTCCACGCGCACTCGAGATCGTTGTCGATCATGTGGGTCAGCTGCAAGTACCGAGAAGCAACGCCCTTACCATCCTCCCCGCTCCTCTGAGACGTCAAATAGATGTTCGCGTCAGGCATCCCCATCTCGAGCAAGCCTGTGCTCCGGATCAGCCTGACGACCCATACCTCTACCCTGCCCAGGCGGGCATGGTGCGAGTACCACGTGCCCCGCGTCGTGCGACTGATGAAGTGCATGTCTTGCAGGCCGTGCTCAGCCGCAAAGAGCGCAACGAACGCCCAGAAGCCATCCTCGACAGCCGTGTACATATTGCTGCCTTCGACCCGCTGATCGTCGTTCCGCTTGGACGCGACGTCGCCCACATCGATGGCCACAACAGGCCGGGTGGGCTGTGCAGCACCACCTGGTGCCGAGGCGGCTTGTGCAGCACCGCTGAACGCCTCATTCCTCCAACCTCGGGATATGAGCGTGGGCGGCTGTGTGGCAGGGCCTCCGGACTTGAGCCGAAATGGTTGCGGGGGCTCCGGTCCAGCCATCGAGGCTAGCTCGGCATCTGCCGCACATTGCTTTTGCTGTGCCTTTCCTTTGCTCTGCGTTTGATTTTGCTTTGCTTTGCTTAGCGTTGCTTGTGCTTTGCTTTACTGTCGCTGCTGTTGTTTTGCCTTTGCTTTGCTGCTACGATATGCTAGTTTATGCTCTGCTCTGCTCTGCTCTGCTCTGCTATGATAAGCTGCGATGTGATATGCTGTGCTGTGCGGTGCTGCGCTATGCTATGTTATGCTGCGTTATGCTATGCTACGCTGGGCTATTGCGCTATGTTATGCTATGCTATGCTATGCTATGGTATGCTATGCTATGCGATGCTCTGCTATGCTAAAGCTCAGCGAAACTAAGATTAAGGTAAGGTAAACTAAGATAAACCTGAACTAAGATGAAGCTAAGCTATGCTAGCATGACATAAGCTAAGCTAAGATGAGATAAGCAACGTTAAGCTAAGGGGACGTAACTGGGGGAACCGCGGGGCGGATACTGGGGGAACCGCCCGGGGCGCTTTCCACTGCCCGGCCCCTTCAAGCCCAGAGAATAAGAACCCTTCTAGGCAGAGCCTAGGAAGGGAAAAACATTGTTTGTTTCAACGCTGGCATCGATACTTGTTGTGCAATCTATGTGGTGGAACTTTGTGCAGTCTACGTGTTGCAATTTATGTGGCCACGGGGCGGCGGCGGCGGCAACCTAGCCGCCAGACTGGCAGCCAGGCCCAGACGACAGGCGGCGACGAGGCGGCGACGGGGCGGCAACGACGACAACATAGCCGCCAGACTGGAAGCCAGGCCCAGACGACGGGCGGCGACGGGGCTGCCACGGGGCGGCGACGGTGGTATCATAGCCGCCAGACCGGCAGCCAGGCACAGTTCCCTTGGACAGACAAGTAAGACCCCCAAGTAACAGCACGATTCGTGGAAGGACTAACACATGTCGGAGGTTTAGGTTCGCACGATGAGGGAGGTAACTCGAAGAGCACTGTGGCCAGCAGCGCAAAGACTGACCGCCAATGGATGTACTGTGGTGACGGCGTGGATACTGTGGGCACGCGCACAAGACACAACTATAACAACAGCTTATGATCGGTCAGCGTGCTACAGAACATCCTCCAACAGGGCCAGGCAAGCCAGGGCAGAGATCATGGCTATGGCGCTGGGGAGAGGGGGCATGGAGAGGGCGAGGTGAAAGAGCAAAGAAGGGCAGAGTGGGAGAGGGGCCTCAACCCCACCCGAATGCCTGCGCGAATGCGAATTCGCGCTCGCACGCGCAGCCGCAACCATAATCGCACACCGCTCGTCCGACGCGCCAGCGGGTAAGAACCAGCGGCAAAACGTCGAGCATGGACACTGCCGACACGATTGGTATACCTTTGTGGGCACGTGCATGCACGTGCGCAGCATACGCAGGCTTGCACGGTCGCAACATACGCACATGCATGATGGCATATGCGCAAACATGTTAACGGAACCATCGCTACCGATCTATGCAGGCATGACGCTTAACATGCCCCCTCTGGTCGGCAAACGCAGGAGCAAGACCCCCATAAGGGATCCAATGGAAGAAGACTGCTTGCATCTTTTTGGTCCGCTCGGTCCTGCATAAGCGGGAACACATCTTTCGGACGTCTTTCGCGCTAACCGCTAACCCACTCACCGCTCGCGGCGGCAGTGGTCGAGAGTGAAACCGCTGTCGAGATCTGCAAGCCCTGCTGGTGACAGACTCGAGCTGAGCCGCCTCAAGACTCTTTCTCTACAAGATCTGCGATGAAGTCCGAGACGTCAAAAACTTTGACCTGCGGGTCCGACTTCAGCTTGTCCGTGGTGAGCGGGATGGAGTTTGTCGTGAAGAACCTGAGTACGGTTATGCGCTGACAAAAGTGCACTAACAAATCAGCTCGCCCCCGATTCGTTGTTTCCTCTTTGGCTAGCAACGGGCCGAAGGCACAATATGTATCGTATCTATGCCGAGCTGGCGTTTGGAATGAACAGTTGAACACTAAACTGCATTCGACGGGAGAGAACAAAGCGTCGCATATGACGGATTGGCGTTCATGAGCTTTGCTTTACAAGCGGCGCAACGCAATTGCTTGCTTGAACAATGTAGTTCGATTTGTTGTCTTGCGCTGTTCCGCATTGCTTAACGATATTGTTCTGCATGGCAACACATTGCGATGTGTTGCTGTGTCTCCAATCGCCCTGCGCTGCTCTGGTTTGCTCCTCCGTGTCGCACTGACCCGCTGATGTTTCTCGGCGCCGCACTTGGATCCCAACGCCCCCCTGACGTCATGACGTTGTCATAACGTGACCTCTCGAGGTCTGGATCCCTTCCCCTTCCCGAGGCTCGGCAAGGGCCTCCAGTGGTCGAAACATGACGAACCAATCCCGTGGTGTTCTTTTTTGTTCGCGACGCGAGGGGGTCCGGGATTCGAGATTGCAATCGCACGCGCGCTTGCATCGCGCGGCGTTGGGAGGCTTTGGGTTCCGTGGAAGGGGGGGGGGCCAGGGAGCGGGAAAGATCATGAGGAAAATCCTGGCGGCCTCGCGCAGCAACTCGAGACAGAATTTACGTCAGACTCACGCCGGATTTACGACGGCTTCACGTCTGATTCACGCCACCTCGGAGCATCGCAGCGCGAACGTCGCCCCATACCTGACTAGACGAGACAACCATTGCCCGCAGCGCGAGGCCTCCAGGATTTTCCACAAAGAAAATCAAGAGGGACAATTCTGCACAACCGCAGAAGGTCCTGAATTTCACGGAAAACGCGGAAAAATGTTGGATACGGAAGGGCGGAATAAAATCCAGAAATATTGGAAAACCGGGAATGTGTGTCGCTTCAATTGTGTCGTCCGTCCTTTGCCTGTCGTCCGTCGTCCGTCGATTGTCTGTCGTCCGTCAATTGTTTCGTCTGTCGTCCGTAGTTTGCCTGTCCGTCGTGTCGTCTCTGCTACCGCCACTGGGTCCGCAAGCCTTGTTTAACATTGTCGGTTTACTAGTGTCCCCCAGGTGCCTCTTGAGAGAAGGCCCCCCCCCCCCCCCCGAAAAGCTGGAGCAACGCCCCCCACGCGGATAGCACTGCCCCCGGAGCCACGGTCGCGCTGGGCCCCCTCCGCACCCAGAACGAGCAACCAGATGGGTCCCCCTCCGGGTGGTGAGGAGCGGGACTCCTCCTCCTTCATCTCCTCCGCCTCCTCCTTCCCCCTCCTCCTCCTCCTCTTCCTCCTCTTCCTCCTCCTCCCCCTCCTCCTCCTCTTCCTCCTCCTCCTCGTCCTCCTCCTCCTCCTCCTCAGTGTCAGGGGTTGATCCTCCGGTTGGTGGGGGGCGGAATTCCTCCTCCTCCACCTCCTGCTCCTCCTCTCCTCCTCCTCCTCCCTCCTCCTCCTCCTCCTCCTCCTCCTGCTCTCCTCCTCCACCTCCGGCTCCTCCTCTCCTCCTCCTCCTGCTCCTCCTCCTTCTCCTCCTCCACCTCCTGCTGCTGCTTCTCCTCTTCCTCCTCCTCTTCCTCCTCCTGCCCCTCCTCCTCCTACTCCTCCTCCTCCTCCTCGCCAAACAGTCTTACGCCATCCCTGAGATGATGTGGGCGGAGTGGGATTCTATGGCCTAAATTCCCTATGTCTGCTTGTTTTGTGTGTTATTTATGCATCATCTCGAAAACAAAATGTGTTGATTGCCCCTTGTGGTGGTGCACATGTGCGTTTTTCAATTGAAGCGCCCCCCCCCAGAGCTCGCACCCTGTTTTTTACAAGGGTCTTGGGACTCAGACTGGCCCCCTGACCCCCCAAATCACAACAACAACCACAACAACAACAGCAGCAGCAGCAGCAACAACAACAATCATGTTAAGACTGTTCGCTCTTATCTTCCCGAGTGTCCGTTAACGCGTATTTCCCAAACCCTCGATACCCGCCCTCTTCGTCTTCGATCGTGCCCCTTTTGGGGGGTATACCTTTCTTCCCTGCAGGCCGGGCCCGGCAAGCGGCGGGGCGGCCGCGGACCGTCGGTCTGGCCAGCGGCAGCGCTGATCGGCGGCAGCCCGACCCCAGGAGGGACGGACAGGGGACCGACCACGACGACGACGACGACGACGTCGACAACGACGACGGCGACGATGACGGCGACGACGACGACGAGCGAAAGCGAGAGCGAGAGAGAGAGAGAACGACAGCAGGGCCACGAAGGGCACGAAGTAGGCCACGAAGGGCGACAGCGGGGACACGAAGGGAATTGTTATGGGGCCACAAAGAACGTGAAGGAGCGGGGGCCACGAAGGGCAGATGATGAGGGGCCACAGAAGGCAACGACGGGGCCACTGAGGGTAGCAACTGGGCCACGTAGGACAGCGAGGGGGCCACAAAGGGCGACAGCGGGGCCACGAAGGGCATGCACATAGGGCCACGACGGGGGCGAACGAGCGGGAGCCACGAAGGGCATACGTATATTGGGTCGCGGAGGGCAAGGACGGGGCCACTGAAGGCAGCAACGGGGCCACGAAGGGCAGCAAGGGGGCCACAAAGGGCGACAGCGGGGCCACGAATGGCATGCATATGGGGCCACGACGGGCGCGAACGAGCGGGAGCAACGAAGGGCATACGTGTATAGGGCCACGAAGAGCAGCGAGGGGGCCAAGAAGGGCTGCAACGGGGCCACGAAACAAAGCGAGGGGGCCCCGAAGGGCTGCAACGGGGCCACGAAACAAAGCGAGGGGGCCCCGAAGGGCTGCAACGGGGCCACGAAGGACAGCGAGGGGGCCACGAGGGGCTGCAACGGTGCCACGAAACAAAGCGAGGGAGCCAAGACGGGCTGCAACGGGGCCACGAAACAAAGCGAGGGGGCCACGAAGGGCTGCAACGGGGCCACGACGGGCAGCGAGAGGGCCACGAAGGGCTGCAACGGGGCCACGAAACAAAGCGAGGGGGCCACGAAGGGCTGCAACAGGTCCACGAAGGGCAGCGAGGGGGCCACGAAGGGCGGCAACGGGGCCACGAAGGGCAGCGAGATCCCGATTCCCAAATAATCTGTAAGGAGTCTTAAGCGTGAGCGCGTCTGCTGGGTGCCTGAGTGTCGGGAGCGCGGCGCTTGAGTAAATTGCTGGAAATTCCAACGCAAGGGCGCTAGTCTTGCGTAAATGGCAAGCAAGTCTCCAGCGAGAGCGCGACTCCAGAGCGCCGAAAGAGCAATTCCTGAATTCGCCGGCCCAACGGGCCAGAGGCGTGCTAAGATCTCCGGTAACTGCTCAACAATATTTCTAGTTCGCGCGCGCAGGGCGGGCCCTGGGGGTCCCCGGACGAAAAGTACCCTGGCAAGGTCCCAGCAAGGTCCCGGCAAGGTCCTGGCAAGGTCCCGGCAAGGTCCCGGCAAGGTCCCGGCAAGGTCCCGGCAAGGTCCCGGCAAGGTCCCGGCAAGCCCTCCAGGCGGTCCAAGAGTGCCGGGAGACGCCGAAATATCACTCCCAAACGCCTGCGATGGCCTCAAGACGGCCCAACAGGCCTTCAAGACGCCCCAAGAGGTCCCTAAGCGGCGTCCCAAGAGGGCTCCCACAAGCAAAAATCGTCTCATTCCCTTAGGAAAGCGTGCATTTTTAACATATCCGCCTCTTCGTCTTTCACACCTTTCAAGGCGGTCCAAGAGGCCCCCAAGATCACCCCAAGACGGCCCGAGAGACCCTCTAGACCGCTCAAAGACGGCCCAAGAGCGCTCCAAGAAGGCCCAAGAAACCCTCAAGAACTCTTTTTCGGAGCCCAGGAGGGCTCCAAATCGGTCCAAGAGGGGCCCGAGAAGCCCTCCAGACGGTCCAAGAGAGCCGGGAGACGCCGAAATATCACTCCCAAACGCCTACGATGGCCTCAAGACGGCCCAACAGGCCTTCAAGACGCCCCAAGAGGTCCCTAAGAGGTCCTTAAGCGGCGTCCCAAGAGGGCTCCCACTAGCAAAAATCGTCCCATTCCCTTAGGAAAACGTGCATTTTTAACATATCCGCCTCTTCGTCTTTCACACCTTTCAAGGCGGTCCAAGAGGCCCCCAAGATCACCCCAAGACGGCCCGAGAGACCCTCTAGACCGCTCAAAGACGGCCCAAGAGCGCTCCAAGAAGGCCCAAGAAACCCTCAAGAACTCTTTTTCAACCTGAACGGAAATTTTGAGCCTCCCGCCCAAACACGCCCCCGAAATGCCCCTACAAGCCCCCAAGTAGCCCCACGAAGCCCCCAAGAGAGCCCCAAGAGGCCCCCAACAGGCCGCAAGAAAGCCCCAAGAGGCCCCCAAGAGACCCCCAGGAAGCTCCCAGGAGGCCCCCAAGAGGCCAGGCAGACCCCCCCAAGAGACCACCAAGAGGGCCCACCCAGAGCCATCCACGAGGCCTCCCAAAGATCCCAAGAAGCTCCCACGAAGCTTCCAAAGGCCCCCAAGACCCCCCAAGACCCCGCGATGGCACAATACGGGCCGGCGGAATGAGCGAAGCGATTCAATAATTTGCTAGACGTCCCAAGCGAGAACACTATTCCTTAATACAATGCGAGGAAGTCTCGGGCGGGAGCGGGGGCCCTGGCTACATTGTAAGAATGTCGAGAGCGGGAGACGTTGTTGTTGTAACCTGGGAGCCAACAACACAGTTTGAGGACGAAGCCATCCCCTGATAAAAAAAACAGGGTGCGAGCGCCAGGAGGAGCACTTCAATTGAAAAATACAATGTGCACCTGAGGGGGGGGATCAACAGAAATTATTCTTCAATAGTGATAGCGCGATTTGCTTGGGAATCGCGCTATCGCTCGAGACATCCTCACGATTCTTGCAACACTGAAGCTTCACCGACCCGCCCGCTCGACCGGGCCGTCTGGGCCTGCCCGCCAGACCCG